GAAATAACTGTAATTGGGGAGGGAATTATAGGGTAAGGATTATGCAAAGAAAATGAAGGAAAGGGAAGGTCATAGGTGGAAAAGTTACAAAGGAAACTGGTATGTCCCTTGAGTTCCAGGGAATGTATGCAAGTCTCAAATCACGGTTGCATTTTCAGTCATTTTTTTCTAGATGATGAGGCATTTCATAAAGTCATTCTATCTTTTGGAGTCATTTCTGTTCACCATTCAAAGAACTGCCTTAAATATATTACAGTGTCTCCCCACACCCATTCCCTCCTTAGCTCTGATTTAACCAGTTTCTGAAAACAGAGAATTTGGACATAACTCTTATAACCCAGAAGACAGGTGAGGTGTAGTGAATTTATGCTACACTTTCTCTGAGGATTAAGATCGTGGTATTCACAGTTGCTAAGAATACTTAAACATAAGGTTAGGACTTTCTCATTGATCCCGAACCCAAATTAGAAATACAGATCCTTAGAATTTCTCACGAATTTGAATTCTTAGAAATTTTGAATGTGGCTAAGAGGAGTAAATGATTGCTAGGCATTCAGTAAAGAAGAAATTTTGGACTAACCAAAATTTTCATTTAGAATGTTGTTTACTAAACAAACAAACATAACTTTGTTAGGAACCATGAGCTGCTTCTAACCACACAGATACTTATTGTTTTCAATAATAGTTTCAAATAAAGGGTGTAGAGCAGCCTTGCTATAACGAAGCAATTGCAGTGCTTGACTTTTTCCACACCTATCTTACAGCCAGTGTGGTGTCATCTACATCTAATTGACAAAATGCCTGTGTTTGTGTTAATTAAGATATATTTGCCATTGAGACAGAAATTAAGATGGTTTTTGAGATTTGGGAAGAAAACGTCCTTTGTCTTAAGATGCTTTAAAAGGCAAGTGTGTGTGTCTGTAAAATCTATGGAAGCACACCTCCTGAGCCCGAAGCAGGCTGGTGGATTTCCATGGCAGATCTGACTTGCAGGGCTTACAGTTCTCATTTTTACTTTTCCTCATTTCACAAACTTCCCCAGCCCCTAAGGTGGGCTTGGAGATGCACTGTGCTAATGGGCAGAGTTGGCCTTCCCTGTGTTTCTCCGAAAGGAGCCCATCCAGAAACACTGACCTTTTAGTTTAATAACAGTTTGGAGAAAATGTTCATATCCCGAGACCTGGAAATGGTGTTTGAGAAAGGCCGTTTAAAGTAGTGGTCTCCCAAAGGCTTATCTTTTCCCTTGTGCACTTCGGGTCAGACCTGCCAGAAGAAATATGTTGTTGCTTTCTGCATTCTATTGATGTAAAAGCAAATAACATGAAATTTAGGTTTGCTGGGAACCCGTTACTAGACTGGTTTATTTTCCTGCCTGGGCTTTGATTTGCTATTAGATTTTCAACTCCCTTTGCTCGATTATGTTTTATCTTTTGTTATTTTAAATTCTCAATTGTAGCTAAAGTAATTACTTTTCAGCTGTGACCTTGGAAGTGAGACCCAAAAGTTTGTGTGTGTGTGTGTGTGTGTGTGTGTGTGTATATTTTTTTCTTTTCATTTCTAGAAGTAGCTAGGGCAGTAGAAAGACAGCTGTGCTTTGGTCCCTTTACTGACTGACCAAAGTTGATGTGATGCCACCCAGCTTATCCCTTGGGCCTGCCTTCTTCAGTGGCCCTGGGAGTGTCCCATCCTTTGCACTGCTGCTGGTTTTCTTCCACCTCTCTCTCCCTCCTGGCCTATCTAGATGGTACCACAGTTTATTCCATCTGTTTCTCACCTCACCCCACAGCAGGTGGCAGACTGACTGTGACAGGCAGGAGGGTATAGAGAAAGAAGACAAGCCTCGAAACTACATTTCCTTCTCTGCAGTCTCTTGTGCATGGCTTCCTTTTCAACCAGCCATCTGGTCACCCTTTGGTAATGGAGTCCTTACTGTTCCATTCCCGATTGCTCACATCATAATAAAAAGCTCACTGCTGATTTAGGCCTTTCCCCAGGTAGGAAGCCCCTGTGTCAGAGGCACAACATGTACTGCGAAGATATGAGACTGTTGTAGCAGCTCACTTAGAAAACTGATCTCACTGCTTGATGCTTAGACCTGGTATACTGACATCTTTCAGAAGCCTAGCTTTAATGGACTGAACAGAATTCAAATGCATTGTGATTGAGAATTGGATTGGGCTTTGCTGAGAAAATTTTTGCTGTGGCAATTTGCAACAACCCAGGGGAAGTGGCTTGATTTTACAGGTACAATTTGGCTGTGTGTTGATCTTGACTGGTATGTTGAACTTCAGAGTATAGTTTGACCAGGTAATACTAACTGGTTAAATATTTGTTTCAATTTTTGCTACTAATAGAGCTAGTAGCTGTGAACATCTCCAAAAAATGAAGAGTCATGTTTTTGCTTGTACATGAGAAATAGATAAAAACATGAAAACATTACCTTGTGGGCTGCAGAGCCTAGAACTTCATAGCTGGCACACACCCGTGTAACCCCCAGTCCTGCTTTCGGGTGAGCAAATCAAAACTCGGGCAGGGTAACTGATTTATCCAAAGTCTAGCTAATAGAGAAACAAGGAGTATTCACTCTTTGCTGAGCTACTACTAATTTCATTGTTATTTCCATTGTTTTCTAAAACCTTTAATATTGAAGAATTATAAGATTTGCCTGAATGCAAACAATTCCCTGTTCTAGTTTTTTTCTTGGTTTCGCGTGCCCTTTTCAAAGCAGAGCTGTGTATCTCTTGCTCTACACACTATGAAGTAGGAGAGAAGCCAAACAGCAGCATGTAGTATATAGTTCGGAGACAGCGGGAGAGCATCCATTTAACGTCTTTTTGGGAAAACTGCTGCCCAGTCAGTGACCTCCCCAGGACCCCCAGATTGTTGATGCTGGGGTTAGACCTCAACTAGTGTTTACTGTATTCCCTGGCCGTTGTTTTTTAACAGCTTTAGTGAGCTGCATTTAACATACAAAATTTACCACTAAAACTCCACAGTTTAGTGGTTTTTAGTATATTTGCAGGGTTGTGAGATGGTTATCTCACTATTTAATTTTAGAATGTTTTCAACACCCCAAAGAGAAACCCTTTCCCCGTTAACTGTCACTTTCCATTCGTACCTGCCTTCCACTCCTGGCCACCAATCTAAATCTATTCTCCGAGTCTATGGACTTGCCTTTTCTAGACATTTCATATTGATGGAAACATACTATACATGACCTTTTGTGTCTGGCTTGTCTCACTTAGTGTGATGTTTTCAAGGTTCATCCACGTGGCAGCAGCTGTCAATACTTCGTGGCTTTTTGTGGCTGGATAGTATCACACTGAATGGGTATTCTGATGTTTATCCATTCGTCAGTTGATGGCATTTAGGTTATCTTCACTTCTGGGATGTTTTGAATAATGCTTTTATAACACTCATGTGTAACGTTCTGTATAGACCTGTGCTTTCAAGTCTCTTGGGTATAGACGGCACCTAAGAGTGAAATTGCTGGTCATGTGGTCACTTTGTTTAGCCTTTTGGGAGCCTAACTCTTTTCTACACGGTTGCATCATGTTTTATTTCACCAGCAATGCATGAAGGTTCCAGTTTCTCCACAGCCTCACTAACACTTATTACTGTCGTATTGATTATAGTGGGTCCAGACTGGTGTGTCGTGGTTTGGAATTGCGTTTCCTTAATGATACATGCTGCTGAGCAATTTTTCGTGTGCTTATTGGCGAATTTTAACACTTCTTTAGAAAAATGCATATGCATATCCTTTGCCCATTTTAAATTATCTTCTTCTTGTTCTGTTGTAAAAGGTCTTTGTATTTTCTGGATACAAGTTAATTGCCGGCTATGTGATTTGCCAGTATTTTCTCCCATTCTGTGGGGTGTCCTTTCACCTTCTTGATGATGTCCTTTGATGCTGCTGTTTTCTGATAGTCCAAAAGTAAGAGAAAACATCCTTATGACCTTTCATATGTCTTCTTTCTTTGTTTATTGCCCAGTGTCAGCAAAATTTTAAAAAGGCTTTTGTATACCCCATTGTAATTCACTTTTTGTCTGTGTCCTGAGGCAAGGCATTTATAATGTCCAGATCATCAAATAGAGCATTGTTGCGGAGCAGACACAGTACTGTTTAGTTTTCCATCTAATAGGCTACCCTTTGAAATAATAGGTCCTGTGTGTCTTCCTAGATCCTCCTAAGTGTTTCTGGTGCTTTCTTGGTCATAATTTTGGGTGTTGGGTTTTAGTGAAGAGGAAAGAGTCTGCTTATTTTTTGTGGAAGGCTCTGAAGGAGTATGTAAAATTTGTCTATTTTGTTTGCTATCATAGCTGTAAGAATCTTTACAAAACACATCATACCAAATTTTCTAATTGTAAAGACCAGATGTTTCAAATCAAGCCACCAGGTATTTAAAAAGCTCCAGCTGAGTTCTCAGCTCTGAGTCTCTCTCCAGTTGCTGGCACTTGAATTTGAGTGATATGTTTTCCAAAAAATATGTTTCAAAATGTTCTCAAATGCTTTTTTTTCATAAATCATGGAAAAATGAATGTACACAAAAGTAATTTTTTCTGTAATAAGTGTTTTTTTAAATGTTCAATTATCAAAGTGAGAATGTGTCAGTGTCATTTTCCTTTGTCAAGTCCCTTCCTTACATCATCTCTTCCCTTTTTTATGTGACTGTCAGACTTCAGTGATAGGACACCACTGTAAAGAATTTGTACTTAATGGCTCAGTCCCCACTGGGCAGTAAGCAGCTTCTGGAGTTTATTATAAATTTTGGCAAGTGTGGAAATTTCTAAGTCACCATGGGCCTCTTGATTAAGTTACTCCTGAAATGCACTAGTTTGTCTTTTCTACAGTGCTTAGGCAGTTCCAAGGAGACACTGACCGGCTGGCAGAACTCTGCCCTTTAACATCTAGTCTCAGCTTTGTTTTCATGAACATTTTCTTGCTTTTGTTTTTAAGAAGTTACTAATTTAAATCTCCTTTTGCTCTTTACTATTTCTAGTTTCTGATGAAGAACTGAAAAGAAGAGTAGCTGAGGAGCTGGCACTGGAGCAAGCCAAGAAAGAATCTGAAACTCAGAAACGGTGAGTTTTGTGATCAGTGAGAGATTTTGGTGGACTTGTTATAATTATGAAGTATTTTTAGAGAGGAATAATTGTAGTAAGACTCATTATTTGTGTCTGGCTGAACTTCAGAATGTGCTGAACATATGAACTTGGCCATTTTCTGTTCTGGATTGTGCTTGTTAAAGCCCCACGTTACCATCTCCCTAACCTTGGTTATGAATGACCATTATATCTACTGTGTGGTTCTTTATTGCATGAATACTGACTGAGCCCTGTTTTCCCAGTATGTGAGAAGTAGTTCTTGAGGATTCTCCAGGAATTTCACGGGCTAGTTTTTTTCAATGAGTGTATTTATGATTGAAAGTTTTATTTTCTACTGTGGTTATTAATGTTAGCAATATTGTAGCTAACAACGAATGCCGTATGTTATACATAGTGCCTATATTAATAAATAGTGCTAATTAGTAATATACTCACTTAAAAAAACTGAAGATATTCAGAAATATGTAAGGTTGGAAAAAATCAAAATCTTCTATAATCCTGTTCTATGGAGATGACCAGCCTTGAACATTATATTCCTCTAGATTTTTCTATGTACATACTACTACATTATTTTTGTCATTACTACTACTACTACTATTACTATTACTAGCACTACTGTTACTACCAGTGAAAAGAATATTCCTTGAAGTGTTTTTGTAGTAGAAAACCGGAAGGAATTTACAAGGCCGTCATAGGGGCCGGGTGAGTGAGTTACGGCACGTGCCTCATTGCAGCGCTAGACAGGCAAGTAGATCTTTATGTGCTGATACAAAAGATGGTGAAAAGCTATAAACGGAAAGAAACACAATGTTCAAAACAACACAGATAATTTTTTGGTAAAAGCACTACTTTTTAAAGACTTAAAGTATATAGTTATTCACAAAAATATGTCAATACTTTTTAATCCAAGATAGTCAAGTGCTTTCCATCTGTGCTCCTTCTGAAATTTGCACAGGGCCCTGTTATTATATGATCATGCAAATGTCTTTCTGCTGTGAGCGCCACACACGTGCCTGCCACCAGTGGATGCTTAGTATGTGTTTTTGTTCTGGACTACGTAACTGTTTTGCTCGAGAGAGCTAAGTGTAAAGAATCATTGAATAGGATTCTAGTCTTCAATGGCCATAGGTCCTTCAACATGTGATTTAACCTCTTTGGGCCTTAAATATTTCATCTCTGAAGTGAGAGGTTTGGAACAAGTCCTCTAAGATTTCTTCTTATGACAAAGTGCTAAGCTAGCTCCAACTTGCTTTTGAAATGTATGCAACAGGACATAAGCTTTAGATTAAGACCACCATTTTCTCAGGATATAGAGAAGGCTCATAGGTTAGGGCTTTAAAAATCAAGATGTAATTAGTGCCGGTGAAAGATTCTGTGTATGTTTCTGTAATTTTCCACGTAGCACTTTATAATTATTTAATTGGGTTAGGCTGATGGAGTATATAATTAGATGGTGGAGTTTAAATATTCAAAAACATTCAGATTATTTTCATCAAGAAGCAAAGAAAATCAATACGTTATGGTAGAATTTCTTGTCTTTGAAATTTTATTATTTTTAATTGAATTTTATTTTAATAAGGATTTTTTTTTTTTTTTGGTTAAATTCATGTTTACTTTGCTTATTATGTTTCACCTAGGCTCTTTTTGGTCTCCCTTTCTCTCCGTATGATACAGGCTTCTTACAATAACCTCATGGGGGTGTTTTCTGTTTTTTTGTTTACTCTTTCTTTATAATTCAGCTTCTGTTTGCTCTGCCTCGCTCTATGCGAGGTAAAGGGCAGATGAGATGACTAAAAGGTGCCAGTGAGAGCCAATTTCATACCTCAGGTGGACTGAGGTTGGCAGCCTCGCTGTAACCTGGACAAATGACTATTGATAAAGAATTTATTTTCTGTCACCCTTAAGGAAAACAGAGAGTGCTACAGCCTTTTTATTATTTTTTCTTTTAAAAAATGTTTTGTTTGAAGCCTTCTTCACGAAAATGTCCAGCTGTCAAATCTTGACACAGAGTGTGTGTTCATCTATGTGATAGTTTTTAAAAGAATCAATAGCTGTATTTTTCTTTTCTCTACCAGAGAAGAAACTTTAGAAAAGGCATTAAGAAAGTTTTGTGTGCACTCTTTGGAAAGAAACTTTTTGGTGTCACAAAGCATTTATACGTTATTGTATCTGCCGCCTTAGTTGAATGAAGCCTTGCAAGCAGTTTTATTAGAGAATGGCTCCTTGTGGCACTGTTTCAACAATTCTTGTTTCGTCTATACAGACCCTACTCACGCTGCCTGTGTGGTGAGTGGTAAGGAGGAGCAGTAACACTTGTAACAGGCTGGTGAACTTGATGGCAGGGAAACACTCTGAAATGTCTTCTATTAGGGTAGCTTAAATAAGGTCCTTGTTTTGGTTCGGATTCTTTGGTTGAAAGATTGAAACTTAACTCCAGCTAACTTAGGAAACAAGGGAAGTTTTCGAAGCATATTGGATAGTGCAAAAGAGTCAAAAGGAAGACTAGAGACCGCTAGCTAGGGAAGAGCTGGGACTGCTAAGTGTACACAGTGGGGACGAGGCACTTACCCCAAAGAAAACCAGGCTAAGGGTTCCATAAGGGGGAACAAAGGGTGGAGGGTGGCAGAATGTCATCGAATTAAAGATGCTATTGATTTTAAGAAGCATTGTATTCGATGTACCGCAAGGAAAAAATTGCTGCAAATTGTAGCACAATAGTTTATGTCCTAAAATTTTCTTACTGAAAGAGCTTGTTAACACTGACTTTGATTTTTGAAAGAAACATATCACTTGTATATTCATAAAAAGGAAAATGTGAGCAAATTAAGTAGGTTAAGGCAGTGTTCTTATCTGGGGGAGATTTTGGTCCCCTGGGACTATCTGACAATGTCTAGAGACATTTTTGGCTGTCACAACTTGTCAGATGTTATTGGTATCTAGTGAGTAGAGGCCAAGGATGCTGCTAAACATCCTGGTATACAGGACAGGTCTCACCTCTGCCCCCTGCCCAGAACAAAGAATTACCTGGCTCAAAATGTCAATGTGCTGACAGTGAGAAACCCGGGTTAAGGTGTTCTTAAAAACCGGTTCACGTCGGCTTCATTTCTTCGGAATCACTTCTTGATTCAGGGTCTTGATGTCCTTGTTTTTCCTCACATCATATTCTGTGCCATCAAAACCTTGGCGACACAGCGTTCCTGAAACGATTGCTCCACTGCTGTTTCTGGGATTTTTCCAGGCTGCTGACACCAGTTCTGCAAATTGTGATGCTTATGCTCCAGCCCTGACAACTGTGCAGGACCGCCGCTTGGCCGGCAGCAGTGTCAGGTGCTCTGAGGCCTGTGGAAACGTGGAGCAGTGTGCTCCTGGGACTGTGTTTGGTCCATATAGTCCATGGACAATTTGGACTGTACATCTGTGGGACTGGAAATGACTTCTGTGTGTCTTGCCTTACCTCCCACCTACTGCAGAAGCCCTTTTCCAGCATCTCTGGCTGGCAGTGCCACACTCATTTAGATCCCATTCAGAAATCACTTAAAGCAAAGATGTTTCACTAGGCCATTTAAAATTTACCTGAACTCCTCTAAGTCTCCACTCTTTAATATGCAGACATGGCATAATTAAAACTTGCTTTAAAGGAGCTTTCTACTGGGCCACAGTGATGATACAGGTAATTGTAAGTGCTGTGACTGTATGTGTTGTATTCTTGTTTCTAAAAGCCATTTATTCATGAAATCTCATTTATCTTAGATCTGATTCTGTTTTATGAGACTCTTGAGTGATTTGCTTAGTTAACAAAATCATGCCCCAAAATATCACTGACATAATATTAGGACATGCACTAAGCGTTGGGTTTAATTTGGAACTGCAGTTTTGCTTATCACAACATCTAATGGATGGAATAGTTGTTTGGTGTATTGGGAGTCGAGAGTAAATTAAATGCTCGTGTCAGCAGTCTGTTTTTGCTGCGATACTCTGCAGTGTGTTTCGGATTATAGCTGACCATATTGTGTTGTAACTGTAGCAGGCCAATATAGCAAGGACATGATATGCTGCACTTTGAGTACGGACTTTTAAAATGTGATTTACTTCTCTCCTGTGCCTCACCTCCAAAGTCAGTCTCTGACAGCAAGAAAAATGGGACTACTTCTGACCTCTGACCTTTGGCACTTGAATTTCACCTCTACCTATAAAGGCAAGTGAAAGTGTTTCAGTTTTAATAGCCTTTCTTCAGGAAAACCAAAAGAAGGGGAACACCACCTACTTGACGCCGTAACTAGCTACACATCAGCCAGGATTACTTGCTTGCTGTTTTTAATGGGCGTCTGATGAGACTTCCCACTTTAAATTACTTGGAAAATTACATTAGCTTTGTGAGACTTAAACTGATTAATTTGATTTAATAAGTGGTTTCATAAATTAGTCATAAATTTTATTAGCTATCTGGGTAAGTTAGAATATAGTACAGTCCATTTATTTTTTTTTCCACTTACAGCATCTAATAAGGGCTTAAACTTTTGGGTACTTTTTAGTTTTTTGTAGTAAAGGTGACATTTATAGGGATGGTACCTTCTGTTTAAATTCATTATATAAAAGAATTCATTTCAGTTTTATGATTAGATATTTTCTGCCTCTGGAGGAAAAAGCTGAAATAGGAAGGAGGAAGGAGTCCACTAGAGACAAACAGGGTTTGTGAGTTAGCATCATACTGGAAATTCAGAATGTGGGAAATCGCCTACCTAGCGTGGTGCCTCTCATGTAGTAACTCTCACAAGGATTTGTTCAATCTAATGAATCACTAGGACAGAAAATCTTAGTCTCGTCTAGGAAGGGCTTTCTCTATATACATATATGGTCTATATTCTATTAAAATTAAAACAGGAAAATCATGCCTTTCAACTCAGACATTAACCAAAGACTATAGGAACTTATCTTGTAAATCTTTGTTTTAATTTAGTGTAGTGTTTTTTTAGTTG